AATCATTTAAATCTGATCATATAGATAAAAGGTTTGAAAGTGTTTATTTACTTTACGACAGACTTATCAAAGGAATTTCACAATAAAATTACTAGTTATAGATATCAATTCCAGGGTTGGACGTGATAATTTCAAATAATATCAGAAGGGATTTTTGTGGATATTATAGTAATTCTAATAGTTGAATGCATGAGTCATTTGAAGTTAGACCACCATGGAAAACCTAGAAGCACTGGACGGACGTTTCGTCCCAGTATGGGACTCGTCAAAGGTGCGCATCCGCGATCCCGTCTCGAGAGATTTGAACCTCGGAACCGTCCAGGTTTTCCATGGTAGTCTAGCTTCAATTGACTCATAATCTCAGCTATTAAAATTTCAAATAAATTGAACACTCGGTAGAGAGTTAATAATAAATATATTTTATTCCTAATGAGTAGAAAAATTGCATCAGTATACACAAGGGGAAAACCAAGGTCCTCAAATTCAAAGCGGAGAACACCAGTCCAATCACATTTGATGGCGTAACTCTGGAAGATGTGGAATCCTTCACATACCTGGGAAGCATCATCGATGAACAACGAGGTTCAGATGCAGACGTAAAGGTGAGGATTGGCAAAGCAAGGACAGCATTCCTACAATTGAAGAACATATGGAACTCAAAACAACTTTCAACCAATATCAAAGTGAGAATCTTCAATACGAACGTCAAGGCAGTTCTACTGTATGGAGCTGAAACTTGCAGAACTACTACAGCCATCATCAAGAAAGTGCAAGTACTTATAAATGACTGTCTACGCAAGATACTCAACATCCATTGGCCGGATACCATCAGCAATAGCCTTCTGTGGGAGAGAACAAACCAACTTCCAGCTGAAGAAGAAATTAGATAAAGACGATGGAAATGGATAGAACATGCATTACGCAAATCATCAACCTGCATCACGAGGCAAGCCCTAACTTGGAATCCTGAAGGGAAGTGGAAAAGAGGAAGGCCAAAGAACACATTGCGTCGGATAATAGAAGCAGATATGGAAAGGATGAATAACAACTGGAAGGAGCTGGAAAGGATTGCCCAGGACTGGGTTGGATGGAGAATGCTGGTGAGTGGCCTGTGCTCCTTCACGAGGAGTAACAGGCGTAAGTAAGTAAGTAAAAAAAGCAGAATGTTTTTAGTATAATCAGTATCATAAAAGATCTGAATATATCAATGTCAAGTAATTCTTAGTAATGGTGAATTTGTATAGCCTTTCACTGTATTAATTTGTGTGTCAGGTTATTGTTATGAAAAATGTACACATTTGTAATATGAAGTAATGGGTTTGAATGGTAGGTCTCTGTGTGTGTGTATGTTCAGACTGTGTGTAACAAAATAATAAGATTAAATGTGGTTGTTTGGAGAGACAGTCCAGATTCGATGAATATTCAGACCTTCTTTCCTAATGAGATCAGAGGGATTTAGCATTATGTGAAATGTTTTGACTACTCGCCTCTCTTGACAGTTGGAACAGACTTTCCGAATTCATTTGATTTCTTTAATATCGATTTGATGATTTTTCAAAGTAGCATGTACTGTTATTGCTGATTTAACCTGTAAGATTTCTAATTCTATAGGATTGTTATGAGGTGTTTTTGTGTAACTTAAATATTCTTTGACATCAGTCGAAATTTCACGGGAAAACTCTCCAATATAGAACAACACATCAAAATCGATATAGCCTAATCTGTAGACAAAATTTTGAATGAAAACGAATGGAGTTTTATCGGTAATTTTAACTAAAGCATTTCTTAGAGTGTTAGTTGTCTTATAGAAAGTTTTAATTTTGTGCTCTTTTAATATCTGTTGTGGTACTTCTGTTGAACCTTGGACGTAAGTAAAATCACAGTACCAATCCAACATCGTTCATTAGGTCTGTTGTTTACAGAAGGAAAGTTGTGTTCTAATATGTTTATAATAATAATTTCACGAAAATTAATACTTCATAGTATTTCGATGGCATTCGTTTTTCCTCTCAGCTGGTTTTCTACTGAGGTAATCATCTTGATTACTCTTCCGAAAAGATTTAGTGCTTGGGGCATTTTTGTACTGAATGGATTTGCAGAGTTAAAATCAACATACCGATTTGAATGTATCGGTTTTCGATATATGATCTGATTTAGACTACTGAGAATTCCTTTCAAACAAACAGTCTAAGATTGATGGTTCATTTTCCCTTTTTGAAAGTGAATTTGATGTGTTCTCACATAGCGTTTATGTGTTTGGAGAGATTTCAAAGAAGAGTCTTTTTAATAATGACAAATGTGTCATCTGAATATCTGAGCCAGAAACTCTGTCTGATGGTGCTGGCGAAAATAGACGACTCAATGTGGTACACAGATAAATTTGCAATAATTGGAGATACTGCAGATCACATGGTTAAACCGTTCGTTTGTTTATATAAAGTCCCTTTGAAAGTGAAAAGTGTAGGATTTAAGCATAGTTTCACGGATTTCATGATGCTTATTGGTCACCATCTAGATAGAGTATGATCATTGTTTGGTAAACCATTAATATCTATCAATCAGCGTTGAAAGATTTTTGCATTGACCTGCGTAATCTCTGAGTTGATATTTCTCTAGACGTATACCCTCTGAATTGTAGGCGCATGAACAGCAATTTCTTATTCACTGTTTGTATTTCGGTTATTTTCGCATTCCACACCATATATTTAATTAAACTTTCTCGTGTGATATATATTTATTATTAGAAATCTAGTTACTTATAAGTAGCATACTTAAAATCGGACCAAAGCAAGCACACAATCTTACAATAAGTAATGTAAAACCTGAAAGCACTGGACGGCCGTTTCGTCCTAGTATGGGACTCCTCAGCAGTGCGCATCCACGATCCCACACCACGCGGGGCTCGAACACAGGACCTACTGGCTTCGCGCGCGAGCACTTGACCACTGAGCCGGCATCCAACGATGTTAATGTCTAACTTCAACCAATCCACGAAGTTGCGCCACCGTACACCATTGTCTTCAGTGAGTTACTATCTCACAACAGACCTGGTTGAACTCCACTGGTAACGGCTTCTCATGATTTCAACCTGTGAAATTTCTAAAAAACTCTCTACAAAACCAATTTTGATAATAATCAACTGCTCACTAGTGACTGACTTCAGGAAAAACTCCTGGAGTTCTAGTGAGAAGCCGTTACCAGTGGAGTTCAACCGGGTCTGTTGTGGGATAGAAACTCACTGAAGACAATGAGGGATGAGTCGCTCAATTTCGTGGATTAGTTGTAGTAAGACATTAGTATAATTGAATGCCCGCTCAGTGGTTTGGAGGTTAAGCGTTCGCGCGCGAGACCGATAGGTCCTGGGTGAGAATTTCACGTGGCGGTGTCGTGGATGCGCACTGTTGAGGAGTCCCACGAGATGGTCGTCTGGTGCTTCCAGGTTTTTCATGGTGGTCTAGCTTCAAATGACACATGACCTCAACCATTGAAATAATCATTCTAGCTCAATATCCACTATAATTAATCTTTTAATCTAATTCAATTTATTGTCTCCTCTTTATTTTTTAGTAAGAAAATAACTGGGTTCAATCAAATTGTATTATAACAAATGATCGAAATTTTTACATTAAGAAAACTGCAACAAATAAGCAATATTACGACTGATTATAATAATAATAATACCGATGAAAAGTAATTTCTCAAACAAATTGACATATACAACGAGGAATGTGTATGTGAAGATGATGTTAATCAATCAGTCAGTCAGCCAGTCAATAACAACGTAGAGTTTCGTACGTACGCAAAATACATCAGTTCAAGTTGCTATATGAACATTACCACACAGATACAAAGTGATGTGAATAATAATAGAGTGTAGATTTTGTAAAATACAACTAAACAAATCTTACCATAACCCATTTTCTCATGGAATGTAAATGAAGTAAACAGACAAGAACACAAAGAAATTTATAATCAACAATCTAGAAAGTTATATGAAGATTTCATCTTCAGTTATAAAGATAATAATGAGTCGTAAGAAGGGAGAAAGGAGGAGGGAATACGAAGGAAATTGGTCATCTGTATCATTGTTAATAGTGAAAATGATATTAGGGAAACACTAACTGATAGAGGATATAAATATCACAGTAATAATGAATTAGAACTATAGTAACAAAAGATCATTGATAATCAAATAGGTAACTAATGACTTATATAAAGTAAATGAAGCCAAAAGGAAAAAGACATTTGAAACATCATACAGATAATTGTGAATAAAAGAAGACATATAATGAAATGGTATCTTTTGAAATGATTCTAAACAGATAACCTGAACTATAATAATGATTGTATTAATGATCATTACGTCGAGAAATCAAAGCACATATGAAAAGGATGAATAACAATTAGAAAGAACTGAAAAGAATTGTCCAGGACAGGGTTGAATGGAGAATGCTGATGGGCGGTTTATGCTCCTCCACAAGGAGTAACAGACATATGTAAGTAAGTAATGATAATCATTTGTCAATACAATTGAATAACGACAACAGGCACTGAAACAATAAAATACAATAGAGGAAATTCGATCACTTTCACTTGTGATACATAGAATAAAATGTAATAGAAACCAAAATGTATACAATATTGTTCTTTTCAATCAATCTAAAGTAAGTTATGTAAGCATCAAGTAGAGAAGAAATACACACACACACACACATACTCATGATCACAACATCTACAAGGAATGAAAGAATATTGAAATGTGTATATTATAAGGAAGACAATTAACACTGTTGAACAAGAATAAAATACAGGAGGTGAACATTTAAAATACATTCATCACATGTACATACAGAATTGATTTGGGAACAATAACTAGCAACAACAACAACAACAACAAAAAATATGTTATTTCCTTTGTATGTATCCCAATGTATTATGATTAGTTGCTATGACATCATTGATTTATTTGATTATATTTGAATTCTCCCAGAGTAAATGAATTACTTAAATGATGATGATGATGACATTGAGAAAAGTGATACAAAATTTTGAAATAAATGAGTTGTCTGAAATAAGAATAAACAAACATAAAAGTGAACATAAGTATTATTATATATACAAAGATGGATAAAGGCTACCAGTAGAATCCTATTTGGGATTCGAACTCAATACCGTTTGCTTCAAAACACCAATATGCTATTCACTTAGCTATTGAATCCTGATAGTCACTTGATTGTGCAATGAGGTGAAGTTTTAATAATTATAGGTAGTTCAGGATTATTCATGGAACCCAGAAGGTTTATGTCATTTATGTAATATGGCTATAAAACTTGTTTATTGAAGGTTAAAAACACATTGTTAGTATTTGATCCGGTATATCTTTCAATCAAATGAAGGTAGTAGAAAGGGTACTTGATGAGAATTGTAAATTTGGTTCGAACAACAACTTATTGAGCTAAGCTGATATGCAGCACATGAGTCCCATATGCTCTTAATCACCATTTTCGATATATAAAACTAATTAGCGACCTAAATCAATATAACTTTGTATGGATGTATTCAACTCAAAAATATACACAGACAGTATGTAATAGTTCAATTACATTATAAACTATGAGAGATTAGGCTTTAAAACTTGAGTAAACTATGGAAGTAAGTAAGTATGTAATTTTATTTCATAAAACTCATTCATATATAAATAAAATTCGACTTAAAAAGTAGCACAAAGAAAACGGAGACAATATAGAGCAATTCAATGTAAAATGACGATGACAATGACGACGACGACGACAAGGACAACAACAACAAACACATTAACAGACAACATATTGGGGTCCAACAATAAACTGACCAATCATCATGATCATGATCATCAATCATCACTTTGTCATATTCTTCAATTTAGGTCGAAGAGCCGATTCAATGATACTTTTCCATAAGCTTAAAATTATTAAAGCCTATAGAGATTTCAATGGATAACAATAGAATATTAAAAGTAATATAATCATCTTACAAATGTTTGGAAAATGGAAGAAAAATTGTTTAGACACACTTCTATGAGAATTTTAGTTATCTTCTTGATGATTCAAACTGAGTAATGTCGGTTAGAACTTCATTAGGGAATAAACATTCGCTAAATATGATGCAAATAGACTGTCTAGATACGTTATTTAGAACAACAACAAAAAGTCTACGGTGTTATATCTTTTAACATTCATAACCTACAAGTTAACCCTGCAAGTATAAATGTGGTTTTTTATTTCTCTTAGTCAGTCAGTCAGTCAGCTACAATGTAGGACAAGGCACGTATATGTACCGGTCCAAGTTGACATACCTCATTAACACAACAAGATGGACACCGGATTCATAAAAGTAGTTAATTCAGAGGTGGTAATATATAAAAGAAAGATTACAATAAGGATATAGTACAGGAAGAAAGAATTAGTTCGTAGAAAGAAAGATATGAAGCCATTTTAATCTCTTAGTTTAAGAGAAGACAGAGTGTGTATCCATCTACTCCATTGTGATCGATTCTGAGCCATGTCACCAAGAGTCTCTAACCATTGGTTACGATAGTCGCTTGGACTCCAACCAAGTAGTCTGCATCTACCAAGATGACTTAGACTAGACGTTAGTGACTTCAAGCACTGATGCCACGTTTTGGTTTGGTCACCCCTAACTTTCTTTCAACCATCCCGAACAACGGTTAGCATTGCACGTCGTGGTAATCGGTGTTCAGGCATATATAACACATGGCCCAAACATCTCAGTCGATGAAGATTCTCTTAATTTTGTTTCGAAAATGTCTTAATTATGTACCTATTAAGATTTATTAATTGCGTTGCTTTGTGATCATGTATCTCTTATTTGAAGAATAACTCTATAGAATAGAGAGTATTTTAAAACCTTTATCTGACATACTGATAATGAAGTATAGCAACTTAGACCGATGCATATATGTGCCTGGTCCTATTTTGTAGCTGACTGATTGATACACAATGATATTCTGACTAGAAAGTTTTATACATTACGAATTTTCAAGCATTTCAAAGCTCTAAACTATTATACATCAATCCTCAGTTCATTTCAATGACTTCAACTAACCAATAAAAACGGTGATAATGTTGCTTTTTCGATCGAGTTTTGTTCTCTAAGTTGGGTAGTTTGGTCGTGGAAATTTCATCGTTCTCCTTCTCAACGACACCATTAGCATAAATGTCAGGTAGAAGTGAAGTGTTAGAATTTCTCCACACAGCTTGTCCTGTACAACTCCATGTTGATTGGTTCTTCTTGACATTATACCTGTCATTGTTTACTTCTTCGTTTCGTTGTATCTTACATCGGTTTGATTTCTCTTCCTATGTTTATCTATAATCTTCCTGATCGGTTGATAAATTGAATCGATTTCAATGTACTTGTTGATTGACCTGAGTGCCAAGCTTCTAAAAATGCTCTGCTGTTTTTCGAATCGCCTCTATCTACAATTTACACAATTTTCCAGTCGATTGTGTGTCCGCAGTTGTCCACGTGCATTGATATAAGTGAGGACATGTCATGGCGTTTCACTGCTAATTGATGTTCATGCAGGCGAAGATGGAGAAGGCATCCGCTTTATCCGATGTAGTGGTTTTCGCAACTTACACAACTTATTTTGTAGATGATGGTTGGTTTGTCTTCTTTTGTCATTTGATCCTTTGATTTGCATAGGATGTAATCGTTATAACTTGTGACCACCGATTTGAGAGCAGTGGATTATCGATCGGATCAATGACACATAAAACAAGTACAAGCAGCCTACAGTCCTGATTGGCCCTGCTTCCTGCCTAGATCTGCCTGTTAAGTTCAGAGTACAAATCCCAGCTTCTGAAATACGAATTATTTATTTCAAACATACTCTGTTTATATACCAATCAGATAGACCACAACGTACCATAAAATAGAAAATAACATTTGTACAATATTTGGGCAACAGGAAAATCACCAATAGGAAAATGATACCATTACAAGTCCAAGGATAGAATTAGAATTAACAGGATATTTTTCTGAATATCCCAACAGTAATGTAGTGTGCAACAAAAGGTGAGTAGTGCTAAGTATAATTACGTTTTTTTTTCATATGTGATTCATCCTATAGGAAATCTACTTATACATTCATATTTGAAAATAGAAATGAAGTGAATACAATGGAAGATATAGTGAGAATAGTTAATTATATCAAATATAAACATACCATATCCGTTTGAAATCGATAAGTGATCATTGCTTTCTTCTCTTGATCTGATATTTATTTGAAGTAGAGAATAAAAATGATAAAAATTGGAATGAAATAAGAAACGTTTACAGAACCAGCTATTATATATTTATTTGTATAAAGACCTAAATGATCAATGACACAAGTTATACCACTGATGAGACTAGAGTGGAATGAGATATACAACTATTTTTCATATTACACCAACATGGGTGTGTGTGTGACAGAAGGAAAAAGAGACAGTATCTTCTAGTTACTGAAAATAATCAGCAACGAATTCATATACGCAAAAGATCGTTGCATCAGAGCAACTAAAGATATTTCAAGCGTGAACAGCTAGTTAATTTGGTATTTTTGTATGTACCAGGTTACTGGATCATCACCATTTAAGTGGAATTTTAACGAACATCTACCTATAGAACTATCAAGAAAGACTGATTTCATGCATTAATACTAAACTTTGACTTTATTATTTCGAAAAAAAAACTGAACATTGAGCAGGATATAAGTAATAAAAGAATGATATATTATTGAGTAGAAGTTGCAGTTTATAACATTTCATGAATCAGTGTAACTCATGTCTTCAGAATAAATGGATAAATAACCAAGTAGAATTCACACAGGTTTAAATAGTGTAGAATGACAAGACAGAAAATGCCCTTTAGTCAGATTAAAACAGATCCAATTATTATCAGAAGACGGTTTTTGTGTAGATTGTAGTAAATTAATAGTTCAGTTTATGAGTCAATTAAAGCTACACCCCGATAGAAAACCTGAAAGCATTGGATAGCCAGCAATGCGCATCCACGAGCCTGAGAGTGGGATTCGGACCTAGGACCTTCGGCTCCGCGAGCAGGATCGTGGACGCACACTGCTGAGAAGTCTGATACTAAGATGAAACGGTCGTCCAATGATTCCAGGTTTTCCATAATGGTGTAGTTTTAATTGACTCATGAACTCAACTATTAAATGGAAGTATGTTTAATTTTATTAAATAAAAAAATATATAATGAACCACTTACCGTAGACATCAATCGTAAATATTTCTGATTTTATTGTACAACAACGTTTAATATTATGCAATTTGATAAATTTCTGAAATAGAAAGAGAGTGATGAAGATAATAATTACACTTAGTGAAAAATAAATCAGAGGTCTAATTAAAAGTACCAAGAAGATGAAGTCATTAACGAATGAAGAACACTGTATACCAAATCATTGTGATTTCATGATTCGGAATTTTAGTTGTCAATCACAAATGTAACAAAATCACCACGAGCACTAAAATCTATATTTCGAGCAATGATCTCTGTTGCCCACCTAGTTGTTCGCTTTGCACTTTAGTGTTAATTTGTCCTACGTTTGCCATATATATGGTTACTAAAATAGTAATATTCAAATTGGATTTAAGCAGAAGCAAGTAAAATGACACAATTTCAGCGTAAGTAGGATGCCTTTTTCGAAGAATAACGGTTAGACACTAATAAGTTTCCATCGACGTTGGATCTTTTAAACAGGTGTTGATGACGTTTAGAGATGTGACATAACTCCACGACTGTCCACTGTACGATAATAAAAACAACAACATGAATGTATACAGTACAACCGGCAAAAGGCCATAAAAAATGATACATTAAATAACCTTCACATCGTGCACGTATATATATATATATATATATATATATATATATATATATAGGTGCACGTCTGAAAATACACACACGAGTTTAATCATGTTTAAGATAATAAAATCTAACCTGCTCATCACCGAATTTAATAACGAATCCATCTGGTAAGATACTAATAGTACCAGTTGATTGTTGTCCAAATTAGTTGCATTAATCTCACCGTTCAAATCACCATCTAGATAAGATAAGTAAGAAATTTTACAAAATTATAAAAAGTGGTGTACAAATCTTACTAACAATTACAACGCCTCTGAATACTATGATATATCCGAGAGTGAGGAGAGTCCGCACTACTTCTCTCTAAGTGAATTCACACGGCTAGGCTTATATGGTTACTGTTAAGGAAGTCTAATTCACTGTCTTTTCGCGCTGGATGTGTTTATTATGAAATTAAGAGGGCGAAAAGCGAATTTCCGGCTTTTAAATGGATTGTTGAGTATGAAGGATCCACCCTGAGGGAGTTGGAAAACAAATGGTGAACATTAGCTTCAGGATACTGAAGGAATAACTGGAGTATGAAATTATTCTTGGTCACCACCGGCTTCCATGGGACCGCATTTTTCTTAATATGGTCCCGTTGCCTTATGGATTAGACCACCCGGCGAAAGGCACAAGGAGTGGCCCGATAAGAATGCCATCTGCTTCAGTTCAGGCACCCATCTACAATTGCATTTACTAGCTTACATGTACATGTCAAAGAAATTACATGAAGTCAAAGGAAGTAAGAATCTTTTTTGCATCTCGGAGAAAGTATCACAGCAACTGAGGTTAAGAGGCCACATGTTTTAAACAGTGTAATTACTTGTCTACGGCTTGACACTGATCATAAAGTTAATACTTTAAGTTCGTTCAAAATAAACAAAGAATCAAGTTAATCGATCAGAAACATTGATCGTAATACCTCAAAATTCGATTAAGTTGATGAGATAGGAGAAGAAACAAACACATAAAGAATGTAATACTGTATTATATAATTTAAAGAAATTGGATGTAAACAGGTATTGAATGAAAGATTTGAAATTATTTTTTTGACTACTTATATCTGTTTTCAGCAACACAAAAATAATGAACAAATATGCGGTGAAAAGAAAGTCCGGAAGCGTACGAACAGTTGTTAAGTTGAAAACTTCTGAGTCGATGGAAAATCTACTTTGCTAGTCGACAACAGTTCCAGCCCAGAATTTCACACAAAGTTAAACGATGATGTGACAGTTTTCTAGTATTCGATGGTCATTGAATTGGAAAATTCAGATGACAGAAAAAGGTGATTGTGAATTTGGATTCTATGCAGTATCATGTGTTGGAAATCTGTTGCTGCGAAGTGTTAAACCGTTTTTTCTGAGACAGTAGTTAAGATGGTGTTGATTGGTGCTGAAGAGGATTTTCGGAATAAAATGTTCAAAGTAATCCTGTATCAAGCGCTTCCCCTTCTACTGTGAAGGTATACTAGATTTCTGGTTGGTTCGAGGTTGTGAAAACGATAATAATAAATTATATTTAACTGATTCACATCTATATAACTCATATAAGACTTCTAGCCAAAACATAGACAATAGAACTAACTTAATATTCCATGTGAAGCTTCTACAGATATATTTTTCATTGATTCTTTGATCTGTTGATAAACTAAACGAGACTAGTAGGAAAAGAAGAATGTAACAAATATGAGCATGTAAGTAAAGTTGCAAAAACGGCTTGAAAATTACTTGTATCTCCGTAAGCGCGTACACCAAAACTTACTTAAGAAATACTAAAAGTGGGCAAAGTAAACCGTTTAATGCACTTGAAAAGTGCGAGTAGTCCCGAGTTCGAATCCCCCGAATGCCCTTGGTATGGCCTAGAATGGGAAGAGTCCGCTCTCCCTCTCGAAGTGATCTCACATGACCACACCTATACAACCACCGACAGGGAACTCCTACTTCCTGCATTCTCGCGACATTACTGTTGTTTGCGAAATTGAGAGAACGAAAAGCGAATGTCCGACTCTGTAATGGGGTTGGTGGGTATACAGGAACCACCTAGGGGAGTTAAAAACTCTTATTCCAAACCAATGTTGCACATGGACTCCATGATCCTGAAGGAAATAAATGGCGTATGAACCTATTGTTGGTTACTGGCTATCATGGGTTGGCATCTCCTTACGTTGCTCCACTGTCTTGTGGATTAGACCTTTAGGTCAAAGGTTCGGAGTGTGACCCCTTAAGAAAACCACCTGCTTAGGTTTAAGCACGCGGCTAGTATCCCAGCCCTCACACAAATCGAATGATTAATGTGGCACATATCTATTCGGTGCCTCTTTGTAGCAATGTTTATGTGTGTAAATAAATGTTAATTCTTGATTCAAAACACATCAAGAAACATGAAATAATAGGTCAAATTGATGACAGTGGTGTGAACATCAGATAACACACTGTCAAATCACAATATTTTCATGTACATTATTACTTCAAATTGAAGTTTCACCTCAATATAATAATGAAAAAAATGAGTAGTATGAATAGATAGTAGAAAAAGTAAATTCGTCAATTCATTTATTCATAATCTATCTATAACTTTGTATATATTTCTTTGAAGTTTACTTGGAAATACAAATTGTACATAAATCTAACAAAATATTAGTTATGCATCCCTAAAAAGTTAAGCAATATGTCATATAACAAATGGAATCAATAATGATTCTGGTCCACTGAATTTTCGGGTATTGATCTCCTTCCAGGAGGTCCACTTGTCGACTTACAATACTCAGATGATATAGTTCTGTTTGCTGAAGATGCTGATAAAATGCAAAGTCTTTTGGTAGCACTAAGCAACAATGCCAGAATGTTTGGGATGCGCTTCTCTCCCTCGAAATGCAAGATGTTCCTACAGGACTGGCCTGTCTCAACACCAAAACTTAGGATGGGGAGTAATGTAGTCGAACGCGTTGACAACTTCACTTATCTTGGAAGTCTGATCATCCCTAATGAGTTGGTATCTGACGAAATCTCAGCACGGATTCGAAAAGCTTGTTTAGCTTTTGCCAACTTACGTCACCTATGGCGAAGGCAAGACTAATTAAGGGATGTGTATACTGCGCGGCAGTTCGTTCTGTTCAACTTTACGGCTGCGAAATGTGAACATTAAGAGTAGAAGACACCCGTAAGCTACTAGTATTTGACCACAGATGCCTTAGAAATATTGCTGGCGTCTGCTGGGATCACTAGGTAAGTAATATTGAGGTTAGACAAAGAGTATTAGGGAATGGTGATAAATCAGTTGATGAGGATGTGATTCTTCATCGACTGAGATGGTTGGGACACGTGTTGCGTATGTCTGAGCACCGATTACCACGACGTGCAATGCTGACTAGTGTTGGGTATGGTTGGAAGAAAGTTAGGGGTGACCAAACAAAAACGTGGCATCAGTGCTTGAAGACACTAACTTGTGGTCTGAGCCATGTTGGTAGATGCGGACTACTTGGTTGAGGTCGTGTGAATATCATTGTAGTGAACAGAACACTAGTGGGGACAATCGAATGTATTTGAGCGCAAAATTACAGAGCATCTCAATAAAATCTGAGAACAATACAGCAAATCGTTAATTTGCAAAATTTCAATCCATCATCTTAAACTTGACCGTTCCTATCGCAAACATCAATCCATTGTTTTCACACCAACAGCGTTCCGTTTCCGTTCTTTCCTCATCGACATTCTACTGAAGTACATTCTATGCCTAACCACCGTTATATACTACGTGTGTGGATATACGTTACTCACACCACATCATCACCAATGTTTAGAGACTCTGTGTGACGACTCAGAATCGATCACAATGGCGTAGGTGTATACACAATCTTTGTCTTCCATTAAATTATCGCTTCATATCTTTCTTTCTACCAATTAATTCTTTCTTCCTGTACTATAACCTAACATAAAATCTTTTATATATTACACCATTGAGTTATCTACTTCTATGAATCCGATGTTCGTCTTACTGTGCTAATGAAGTCTGGCAACTTGGACCGATGCATATATGTACCTGGTTCTACGTTATTCAAGTCACTCAATGAATAAAAAAAAAACGAATCCAAATCAGTATACTTACTTTACGAGTATAAAATAAATCCATTTGTGAATGATCAAATATTTGTCTTGTAATGCATAATATATGTGTATGTGATCTATACGTTAAATTGATCACTTGATCATACCATAAACGTTCTAATATACGTCCAGATAAATTACGAATTAATAGATAATCAGAACAAACCTAATAATAATTAGACACAAAGAAAAAAAATGAAAGAAATTTTAGGATAATCGTCTAAGAAGTACCTCTTTGTACATTCCCAAAAGTGTTTTGTTATGAAATCATAATAGTAGAATGAAAGTAATCAAAGTAAATAGTATTACTCATAAGTAACTGATACATGAGGATGTTAGACGACTCTCTATGTTTGATCATTGTTGTCTCCGAAGGATTGCTGACATCTAGTGGCAACACCATGTCAGTAATGCAGAGGCTCGGCATCGTGTGTTCGGGAACAGAGATGATAATGCAATCGGTGTCACCATCTTGAAACACCGACTTCGGTGGCTTGGACATGATCTACGAATGTCGTCCCAGAGAATTCCACGTCGTGCATTATTTACCGACTCTGGGACTGGTTGGAAGAAGCGGAGAGGTGGTCAGTGTATGACATGATGTCGTGGTATGAAAGAAAGCTGCAAAGGACTGGCTTCTGTTGGTCCTTCACGACTCCCTGGTTGGGGTCCGAGAGATGGTGCTACACAGTGGCTAGAGACGTTATCAGATATGGCTCAGAATAGAATCCAGTGGCGATCCTGCTGTTACCTTCTTTTACTTTCTTCATCAAAAGTGGTGGTTTTTTCCTTAACTGAAAGATTTCTTCTGATTGTACCTTTCTGTCTCTCCCATTATTATTACTATTATTACGCTACCTTAAACTAATCTGTTCATTATTGTTCTATTTTTACGCTCCTTACTTTTTTCCTTATTCTCTTCAAATTTTCATTGTTTTGTGTGGCGCATATACATTTGGTGCCCTCTTGTACCAATATTTATGTGTTCAAATAAATAAACTTTAAGGATAAAATGAACAGGTATCTAATGTGTATAATACATTTTCATAGAATTTAATCAATAATAATTCTAAGGTCTGCCATTTCGATCTTCAGATGGTTTGCTACATACAAGAATTTTCATATGATGATCATCTAGTGAGAAGCAGTGACCTGTGAAGTTCAACTGGGTCTATTGTGAGATAGTGATTCACTGAAGACAATGGTGGATATGTCGCTCAATTCCGTAGCTTAGTTGAAGTTAGACATTAACACTGTTGGATGCCGGTTCAGTGGTCTAATGGTTAAGCGCTCGCGCGGAAAACTGATGCGTCCTGGGTTCGAATCTCATACTAGGAAGAAACGGCAGACCAGTGCTTCCAGGTTTTCCATGGTGGTTTAGCTTCATTGACTCATGATCCCAACTATCAATACTACGATAATATCTACAAAATCTCTTCTTCTGATGATCATCTATTATAAATTACGTCACTTCTGGTATCTCTAGTTAAGCAATATTGGTTAGACGATTAAGGTTATAATGAAAAAACAAAAAAAAAACATAATAACTCAGAATTATTTCACACAACCCTCAATATACAATTGACAAAAAATATATCCAGGTTGCAACATACTCTACTAAATCAACAAGGATTATTGAAAGAGGAAAAGCTAATGAAACAAATATGAACTAGAATGATTGAACACTTGATGAAAATACGTCAACCGACAATTTCGTAAATGGTGTAGGTTTATATTAGACAAATGTAAACTGTTTTTCTTTTGGTACATAAATGTTAGTTTTACTCGGAGGGAACCAGCTCATTGGATATATCTAACCAACATCTACATACATACAAATGCCCTACCTAGATGTTTATACTAACGTAGTGGACACTACTCAGAAGATTGTTTGTAAGTAGTGTGTAGCGAAACGTGGCGTCGAAGGTCCAAGAATTGTTAGACAGAGCGAAGTGTTTTAGTACATTGAAAGCATGGAGTTAGCATAACACGTGGAGACCAGACATATATATACAGATATTTGTAACCTCTTGTATTAAATATACATTCCTCCAGCCTACTGACGTACTTTACATTACTTACTATTAGCCACTACCCTAAATATTAGGAATACGCTAAAAATATATAATTTAACATTTAAAAAAATATTACTTCAAGAAATATTAGTTCACCGCTCTCATCTGAACCACGATAGGCTTCATGTGAACGTTGTACAATAAAACGACTTTGAGCCACATTTAAATCGATATCATTCCCATTCTGTGGGAAGAATAACATATGAAATATTACATTTACACTCCAGTATAAAACAATAAAAGTAAGTTTTAAAAATTACGTTCATACCATATGCGATCCAACATAACCACAAGTATCTATCACAAAATTTACTTAAAGTAAGAAAAACACATAAACTTGAAACGATAATGAGAAATCTGAACTCATTGTTAGCTAATCAGATAACAGTTATTGTAAATGAATAGTTTTATGAACAAGACAATAATATTATGAAAGAAGAGACAATTTTATATAATTAATGAATGAAGCAAGTGGCTATCAGGGCTCAGTAGCTAATTGGATAACGCCATAGCGTTTGAAGCGAACGGTACTAGGTTCGACTCCTAGAGTGAACATTAACTCTAAGGTCAAGGTACATCCAACTGACAAGTCCCAAATAGGACGAAACGCGTCTCAAACTGGATTCCACTGCTAACCACTACTATCCATCATTGCTTACAAAGCTTATGACTTAAGGCTATAATATCGAGGTAATCCGCATAGGATGCACATATGTCAATAAGAGACTGATCAATTGTAGTCCTAAACATCAATGAGAAGATTCAGACAAACAATACCAAGTAAAGTTAAAAGTTGATTTGCCTAAAATATACAACCAATTAAGGAATTTCATATGATAATAAAAATAATATTCGGCTTCAATGTTTAACGCTTTGATCAGTAATACAAAGGTAATTTTACTGCTTGTCATAATATGACATTTGCATTTTGAGCGAGAAAAAAAAAACCTAAATGTCACATATTTGATTCCAATTGATTCATCTCTAAAAGTACACTTTATCATAAAACTCATTGATTTTCTAATTTCATCAAAAATGTTTGAAGCCTTTTTTTTCTTCTTTTATTGAAATCAATTAGGTGGTTCATATTGCGTAATAATGCATAGTAATTATATTATAATCAGAGAAAGGTTTTTGTAGGTATTATAGTAATTTAATAGTTGAATTCATCAGTCAATTGAAGCTAGACCATCATAGGTTCGAATCTCGCAAGACATGATCGTGAATGTGCACTGCTGAGTCCCATAGTAGGATGAAACGACTGTTCAGTGCTTCCATGTGGTCTAGCTTCAATTGATTCATGAATTCAACTATTAAATTAAATATATTATCTTTTATAGATGTCTTGTTTATGTGTTGGTGATAAAAATTCGTATGCTAACTGAAACTGAACAATGTGTTCATCAACTATTATTATATGTTCAGTTGTATTGATTCTATTTATATGAAATCATTCATTGAATTTCAAGACACCTCAATGAATTAATTAAATGAGGAGTCCCACATTAGGACGAAACAGCCGTCTAATGCTTTCAGTTTTTCCATGGTGGTCTGGATTGAAATGATTCATGATCTCAACCACTGAAATTACTAAAATATCCACAAAAAACCCCTTCTGATACTAATTACTTCATTGTCATGCTGTATTCAAGTGATGAACGTTTAGTTGAAGTCAGTCAGTCAGCTACAACGTAAGACCAGGTACATATATACATCGTTCAAGTTGCCATACTTCATTAGCACAGTAAGACGAACACCAGATTCATAGAAGCAGATAACTCAATGTTGTAATATATAAAAGATTTTATGTAAGGTTATAGTACAGGAAGAAAGAATTAATTGGTAGAAAGAAGTCAGACAGTCAGTCAGCTACAATGTAGGACCAGGCACATATATGCATCGATCCAAGTTGACATACCTCATTACACAACAACATGAACACCGGATTCATAGGAGTGGTTAGGTCAAAGGTGGTAATATATGAGAAAAGATTGCAATAAGGATATAGTATAGGAAGAAAGAATTAGTTCGTAGAAAGAAAGATATGAAGTGATTTTAATCTCTTAGTTTAAGAGAAGACAGAGAGTGTATACACCGACGCCATTGTGATCGATTCTGAGCCATGTCACCAAGAGTCTCCAACCATTGGTTACGATAGTCGCTTGGACTCTAACCAAGTAGTCTGCATCTACCAACATGGCTCAGACTACAAGTTAGTGACTTCAGGCACTGATGCCACGTTTTGGTTTGGCCGCCCCTAACTTTCTTCCAACCATCCCCTACACCGGTTAGCATTGCACGTCGTGGTAATCGGTGTTCAGGCATACGTAACACGTGGCCCAACCATCTCAGTCGATGAGATTCACAACCTCATCAACTGATTTACCACCATTCACTAATACCCTGCGTCTAACCTCACTATTACTTACCCGGTGATCCCAGCAGACGCCAGCAATATTTCTAAGGCATCTGTGGTCAAATACTAGTAGCTTACGAGTGTCTTCTACTCTTAGTGGTCACATTTCGCAGCGTAAGTTGAACAGAACGAACTGCCACGCAGTATACTCGTCCTTTTATTGATAGACGGATATCTCGCCTCCGCCATAGGTGGCATATTTGTTTACGCTCTTCATCATGTTCAGAACCTGATGGGACGAGTTTGCGAAAATCCATCAGTGTGATAGACCTTGAGGAAATCCATTGGTTCTTTGTAACCTGTTGTTTAGATCACTGATAGATGTCACTGTTGTTTTCACAGCTGTTTGTATATCTTTCCAAGCAAAACATCTGGGTCGGCCTCGTTTTCAGAGCTACCTATTGTGACCTCAGTTGTTGCTGGAACCTACTTTTGGCTTTCTCGTTACTCAACTCAGTTCTAATGGGTCTTTTTACTGTGGCTTTTTTGCGTCCAGTGAGGCGCAAGCAGATGCGTGCCCGTAATAGGGCATGGTCGGAGTCCAAGCAGGTACTCCAGAATGAGCGACAATCTTGTACCGACCCTCTCCAACGATGACTTATGGCAATATGGTCTATTTGAGTCCATCGTTGATTTGTGTAGGGGTCGCATCGGCGGCCTGCTTGAGCATCTGGGCTACCTGTTCCTGCCATCTAGATATTTCAACAAGTTATCTATTGTTGTTTGTTTTAATATATCATTATGTTTATTAATCGCATAACCTATTCTGCTGCGTTTCTGAAAAGTGTACAACCTTTCGTTGTCAAAATTACAGAAAACTCAATAAGAGACAATATGGTTGCTGGCAATATACAACGAAAAGAATGTACATTATTCAGTTGTTCATTCACTGAAGTGCTATCATCTAACTGGCGATCCCTCAATATTTATCGCCAGGACCGACCAAGAAGAAAGAAACGGAAACTTGTTTGAAATACATTACGCTGAGAATTCTATATTGTACCAAAAATATAATATTGAATAAAGCTAATAATAATAATAATAATAATAATAATAATAATAATAATAATAATAATAATAATAATAATAATAGACGATGTCTCTCCTTATGCTTAAAATTTGTGTTTGCTAAAAATAAACGATTGTCTGAGCATAGCTGCAGCAGACGATCACCATTATCTGTTCGCTGTGTCGGAATACTAAAATACCCACCTAAATGCCTTTCTGTTTGGTTTAAACTACCTATCTGAGCATTAAAATCACCCCCTACGAGTACTATGTCTGAGCGTTTAGCTTTCTGAAGAAGTTCGGACAGCTTTCTGTAAAATTCATCTTTCACTTCATCTGAGCTGCAGTCAGTGGGAGCGTAGGCAGAAACGACAAAAAGGCAACGACGTGTGTCCCTATCCTTCCGAGTTCTTACGTAGCCGTTCAGCCGAACAGCACATAGACGACTGTTGACGGGGATCCACTCTAGCAGTGCTTGTTCGGCCCTCATGCTTAGTGCTATGCCTACACCTGCCAGTCCACGAGAACTGGCCATCGGGTCACCAGATACACGAAGGGTGTATCTCGTTGGCTCTCCGTTTGCCGAGGTGAGGTCAAGTGAATGACCACACTGGGATCCTGTATGCGTGTTTCGGAGACACAGCATACATCAATGGAAAGAGACTCTAGGGTTTTAGCCAAGGAAGCCTGCTGACCGATTTGACATAGGGTGCGTACGTTGAAGGCTCCAATGTGTAGTTTGGAGCGAGGTTTCAGTAGACCTGGGACAGTGTTTTGAGCACTAGAATCGTTGGCTATGGTGACACTTGAGGAGGAAGCCAAAGGAGGAAGTTTAGAGTTGAAAGTCGATGTAGGAGGAATAATAGGAATTGAAGAGGAGGTTGATTATGAATACAGTGGTTTTGAGTGCTGTTAGAGGTATGAGGGCGGTTATCACTTCCCGGTTGCCCACACCGTGGAAGGGTTATTCTGGAGGTACCTGAAAAGGAAATTGGATTAGAGGTGGTCTTAGTGACCTGGGAGCGTGACCGCAGTGCCCAAGGGACAACTGCTTGAGGTCGGCCACAAAAGACCTTTCTTATGAGTAGTTTTTGTGTTAGCCCCGTACTTGTTGGGACCTTACCGCCGGAGACGAATTTTCATGGGATAAGGTGAGGTGTGTGTTTTTAGGGTCTACCTTTTCTAGCCCCACCCCTCCTTGTGGGAAGGCAGCATCGCTATCAGGCTGGTTATCTGAACGAAACACCTTTCTGCTGTCACACCTCTGTACAGTCAGCAGTACGACTTCGCCTTCGTACCTTAGGTTTGTTGCTTTTAGTCTTACAGCTCTTCAACCGACCTGTCTGACATGGTAGGACCTTGAGGAACGGTTGTTCCAGCCAGTATAGCTCGGTTGCTTCATCACGATAGGCAAGCCCGACCACCACCTCAAGTTAGCAACAACGGTCGGGTGGTAGAAAGAAAGCTATGAAGGAAAGATAGAGAGTGTATACACTTACGCTACTGTGATCAGTTATGAGCCACGTCATACATAGTCTCCAAACGTTGGTTACAATAGTCGTGCGGACCCGAACCAAGTAGTTTATATCTACTACTAACATATCTAAGACTACATGTTATTGACTTCAAGCACTGATTAATTAATTGACATATTGAGTTAAAGCCAATAAACATTTAATCATTTTTGGTTACTTCCAATGAGTATTCTTAGGAAGATTTGTCTTTTGTAGTAGTTAAGGCTAGAAGAAAATAGAGCTGTTGCTTACAGTATAGAAGTTCTTCTTAGAATAAGTGTACTACTGCCACCACATAATCATAACAGTATAATCAAATACGAAGGAACTAGGAGTAAATATCTTCCTAAATGTGATAGTAATTGATATTAACTATATTAAACTAGATAAGATCGTGATAACAAGGTTTTGTATTTCCATTTACCCTAGAAAACTTATTCACAGAGAAGCTTCATTACCATCTAAAAAAACACTGGATGTAATTTAAAGACAAGTAATACTGTGTCAACACGTGAGTAGATATTTATGTAGATATACTCTATTTAGTAGGAAAAAATCATGGTCAAGGTCAAATTCTGAATAGTACACGAACAGAAACAAACACATAGAGGATGATAATAGGATAGATAGATAGCTAATTTATCCCATGGAAAACTACAACTTTTTATGTGGTGATAAACTCGGTAATAAATATCAATTAGATGACATTTTTCCATGTAAGGATACGTGAATGAACTCACTAATTAATACACTTGTAAAATTCTATCATATTGAAAGGCTACTAACATGACTATCGATTGTCAAATTATGTTGTGTAGTGTTTCAAACTAAGATTCAGTAATTGATAGATGAGTGAGGTTTTTATATTTGTAGATAATAGTTATTGGATTTAATAAAAAATGTGTAAAAAGTTCTTATTTCACAGTGAATTAATAAGTTATGTTGAATCGGACAACTAGTTTCATGAATTATGTTAATACAATGATCGTTTCAATGAAATTTAATAAACTCCACAACCTCATACTAACGAGTATCATGTAATCAATAGTGACTAACTAAGTTAAAGCTTGCCTTGTGATACAGTTTGGTGATTTCCTCAATGTATGTCCTATCCACTTTCAACGTCTTTTCCTAATTTCCTCTTCAGCTGGTTTGTTCTCTCCCAAAGGACTCTGTTGCTGATGGTATCCGTCCGACGGACATTCAGTATCTTACGTAGACAATTATTTATAAATACTTGTACCATTTTGATGATGGTCGTGGTAGTTTTCAAATTTTCATCTCTCTACTGTAGAACTGTCTTGATGTTCGTTTTGAAGATTCTTACTTTGATATTGGTTGACAGTTGTTTTGAGTTCGAAATATTCTTGAACGGTAGGAATGTGTCCCTTGCTTTGCTAATCGTCGTCTTTACGTCTGCATCGCATCCTCCACATTATTCAATGATGCTTCCCAGGTGCGTGAAAGATTGCACAACTTTTAGTTTCTCCATCAAGTATAACTGGATTGTTGTTCTCTGTGTTGTATTTCAAGATGTGTCTTTTTCCCTTGTGTATCTTGAGGCCTACTGATGCGGAGGCTTCTGCTACACTAGTTGTCTTGACCTGCATTTGCTCATGTGTATTGGATAGAAGAGCCAGCACATCTACGAAGTTTAAATCGTTTAATTACAAGCAAGCTGTCCATTGTATTCCGTGCTCCCCCCCCCGATGTCGAGGTCTTCATAATACAGTCGACAATGCGAGATGGATTGATTGAAGTTACACCCGTACACCATTAGATCCGAGTTTGGTGGTCTAGAGGCTAAGTGTTCGTGCGCGAGATCAAAGGTCCTGAGTACGACTCCTGCTGGCGCGGTAGTGGGTGCCCAATGTTGAGGAGTCCCATATTGGGACGAAACAGACATCAAATGCCTTGATGTTTATAATGATTTTCTAGCTCAAATCGATTCATGATTCCAAGAAATGATAGACTATAACAGGTCACTGTTGCTTAGTGTAAAAAGGTTTGGTGCGGTAGTCCACCGGTTAAGGTGAATAACTTTTGGTTCCTAAGTCACCCAATCTCTTTCGTTTCAGATAACTTGGTGGTATTTATAAGAATCCCATCGTGACGCTTGTTAAAATTTATTCGAGGCTTAGCTTTTATTTTAATGATAAACATGTCATTGTTAATATTATCATAAGCGTAATGATTCATTTTTGCATATGTACTTTACTATTATGTGTACTTGTGTGAGTATCTGTTTAATCATTTATCCTATTAATCTTTTTGAACTATATACACTCACTCACTTAACAAGTTATACTTTATATTTGGCTACGTGTCAGCATTCATTTTTCATCTATTTATTTACTCTCACGGTTTGTGTACTGATATGTTTCCATTAGATGTGATAATCCCAAAATATTCTGAATGAAAATCTGTTATCTCATTGTCTGATGACATCAGTCATCAGTACGATATGAGAAATTAACATGGGAAATATAAACATGTGAATTGATAAAATTATTGGAGTCAGATGACAACCACATATCACTCACATGCCCACACACTTAGAATGTGACAGAAAGCCAAGTACACGACATATTAGTGCACGGTAAATGATTTGAGTAGCTCAACATCATGGTCATTAGTGATACTTCAGTTGATGTGTTTAGTTCAAAAATTTTGTAAATAAATTTTCAAAAAATAATTCTATTTAGGTCAGTTCTGTTGTCTTCAAAGTGCTACACCTCCCTCTTGTTTGTGACAATACACATGTCTAATCTATACTTCTATTTTTCAAAACATTTGTAGAATTCCTTAGGAGTTAAACTCTTGAACAACCTCAACGTTTCATTCTTTCTTTAGAAGAGTGTGCTCAGGCGATTCATCTCATCAACAATTAGCCAGACAGTGAATCAGTGGTCAGGAATCAGAAGAGATCACACACAAGTTCGATTTATCAACCAGCATGGGAGGCTGACGATTGCTCTGACCTCGGATTATATTGTTTCAATCTACGCAACCCTTATTGAAACGCATGATCAGCCTGTACAAAAAGATCTTCCCTTCAGTGTGATATCTCCATAAATTGCCCTCATGAATATCCTGATAGATTTTCTTATGTGTCTACAAAAACAGGTCGGCAAGCACAGTTATTGGACAGAACCAGATTAATCTCTAATCGATGACCATATATGAATTTATGTTGAAAAGGTTAAACCATTGTGATCAGAGGTCTGCCGAATAAAATAATCAACAAAAACACAAAGACAAATCAAGTTGACTTTATCATTGAAGACAACCTATTCCCACACAAAAAAGTGGTATCACAACAGACTGATTTAGTGTCTACAGAATAACAACGTACGAAGTTCTACGTTGTTACTGACTGACTGACTGACTGACTACAGAATAACTAAACAGTTTACTTCAACATGTCATAACTGTTGACAACTACATCCAAAGTGATAATGATGACTTCCACAATTAATCCATTGAACAAAACACATTGAACAAAAGTACTTGGTATATATATGCCAAAACAGAATACGAGATACTTCAGCAACAACAACAACAACAAAGAAAGCAAACTTACCAAATAATTCAATGAATTTAATAAATCATTAATTTTTCGTGAATAATGTAAACCTGTATGACTTTTAGCTAATAAACGTTGTAATTTTTTACGTATAGATATACGATCCACATTAGCCATTAGCATAAATGCAATCATATTATGCATTATATTAACTAATAAACAATCTTCTTCTAATTCCATTTGTTTACGTTTCAATAAAGAAGCATTTTGATATTTTAATAAAAGTTCTTTTGGTCGAAAATCCATACCTGAATGTGGATAGAAGAAATGAAAGGTATAATCATTATCAGTGATTAAGTGTGGTTTAAGTTCATAATATGATGAGTAAGAAGTTACGGTGAATGTAGTGTGGATACTGAATGTATTTTCTGACTTAGTGATGATGATCTAGAGATGATGTATTGGTTGCATGTACGTTTTGATTATTTATTCGAACTCATAAAGATTGGTACAATTGGGCACCGAATACATTGCATCAGACAATAACAATGAAGCCAATATTAGTTATCATTGATTTGTTTGAAGGCTGTGATAATACACGGGAGCCCAAACAGAAGCAGGCGCTTTTATTAGGGGACCACACCTCGAGCCTTTGATCTAAGGGTCTAATCCACAAGGCAGTGGAGTAACGTCACAAGATGCAGCCCTATGGCAGCCAGTGTCCAACAATACGTTCATACGCCATTGGTTTCCTTCAGGATCCTGGAGTCCATGTGCAACAATGGTTTTGAATCAGGATTTCCTAACTCGCCTAAATAAATACTCCATATTAGCCAACCCATTTAAGCTCCGGATATTCAGTTTGCATCACCTCGATTTCGTAAACAACATCACCGCTACGAGAATGCAGTGAGTAGGACTTCCTTGTCAGTGGTTGTATTAGGCGTGGTCATGTGACATCAATTCGAGAGTGAGAGCGAATTTTCGCAACCATCGACAGTATCAGGGTATTTGAGGGCTGCATGTACGTGAATGATACTCTAAGATTTGATTACAACTAGCACGATTTGCATTACTCACTGATGAATGTTGTTATACTGGAATTAATAAAGCCGTCCAGTGTTGACTAATTTTATATCAACTGCCTGTATAACTGAAGTCAAGTGATAATAAAAACTACATGTCAAAACATTTTGTAGTTACCAGTTTTTAGAGTTAACGCAGTGAAACATGATCTCAGGGAGATGGTCAAGAATATCTACTCTCTCTTATTGTTTATTTTATTGAACTGTAAATATGATTTCCATAGATAATTGAATTTGCACGATGAAGATATTGAAAACAAAAACGTAGAACATTTTAAGACCCTTATACGACAGTAAATAAACTTTCTGAGTCATGAATAGAGAGGTATTATCGGTTGTTACGGCTCTTTCAATAGTTGGACTCTATGTATAAAGACTTTCACAATTGTTAATCATAGTTGTTTGGTAATTTACATCTTTCAATGTACATTCTTAAAGGATGGTTAGGCTATTCAACATAATGAAATCATAATGAAGCTGTAAACCATCAAATTACAGATTAGTACATTCGTTATAAAACTCCAAAAGTCTTAGTTTCAATCAGCTATTTAGTCCTTTTTTTGGCTTTAGAAACATTGATCAAATGCTGAGAAGTAAACCTATACATCTATCATAAATTAATTAACCAGATATTCTATGAATAAATTACTTATTTAACAAGTGACTGTTAATTGTATTTGAACAACTAATTTTGATATTATATTGATTTGTAATGGATAGGACATACATTACGCAAATCGCCAAACTGCATCACGAAGCAAGTCCTAACTTGGAATCCTGAAGTGAAACGAAAAAGAGGAAGGCCAAAGAACACATTACGTCGGGAAATAGAAGCAGATATGAAAAGGATGAATAACAACTGGAAGGAGCTGGAAAGGATTGCCCAGGACAGGGTTGGATGGAGAATGCTGGTGAGCGGCCTATGCTCCTTCACAAGGAGTAACAGGAGTAAGTAAGTAATTAAGTAATAATGTTCTGGCACGATATGTAGTACAAAGCTTTAACTTTCTGTTTATCATTGAAAATTTATGCTTAGTGTTGTGATGGGTGGTGTCCGAAAACTGATACTGATATACGATATACTAGGTGCTAATCAAACAACTGACTATTTGAGCGAGTAAGTATATTGAGCTACTGAATAAAATGCACAAGTACTCATTTATATACATAAACAATTCTAACCCTTAGGAAATCAATCCATTTCCTAGCCAATGAAATATACTTGTCCTTCAGGTCACTTCTGATCGCCATCGAAGAGATCTCGTATTAGGCTACTTCTGACTGGCTTACTATATAACTTAAATGGTGGTAATTAATAAGCAGTAATCAACTCGTTAGCTGTCTATCGATCATCGATGTACATCCAATCTATGAAAAAAAAACTTTTTTCTTCACATTTTATGATTTATAAGAAAGAACTAACCAAGTATATCTCGTTCCTGTGCAACTGTATCTAAAAAGGAATCTTCCCAAAATTGTAGATTACCCAATATTTTACTTTTATGCCATTCAGTATCGAAAATATCTTCAAATAAGTAAGTCCATGGTACTTTCTTCATCTTAGATGGAGATACTGTCATGACTGATGATGAATTTGGTGGAGGTGGAGTTGGTATCAGCAAAGTTAGTTTACACATATGACATTCTGATTGTTTTCTTCGTTGTTCTATCTCTATTTGTTGTTGATGTTTATTATCTATATCTTCATTTTCTGATTCAGTATCATTAAAATGAAATTTTAAGTCAGGACGATAAACTGCTGGTGGTGTGCATGTATTCGGTGAAGAAGTAAATATTGTACATGTGGTCTGATCGTCTGTAACATCAGATGAACTAGATGTGATTGATGGATCCGTTAAAATTAAGTGTGATTGGTAATATCTATTTAAGAAAATTAAAACCAGAGTTGAGTAGGAACCCATGGACTGAATAAAATAGATAAAACTTTTATAAGCATGATCTCGAATACAATGGTGCAGATCTCTAATCGCTTTTTATGATTGTACAATACTGATTTCCCATCAAACTTAATCAACCTCGTAATGTTCACAGTTCACAATTTAGAACTTCAACGAATGTCGTCAAGCTAATCTCACCTGTACTTCCCAAAGTTTTCCTTATTTCTAAAGATTAGGTAGCTGACTTTAGTTTACAGTAGAAATAATGTTCCTACAAAAAACTCATCTGTTTAATTTTCAGTACTGATTGCATTCCATAGATCATATTGACATCACCATCAACCTAAGAAACTTATCATCGTGTTATACTACAATGAGAGCATCTTTATAGAATTTTCCATTCAACTCAAATTTCATATTCATTATTTATTACATGTCATTAAAGTTTATCATACTTTTTAAAGGTAACTAATATAGTTTAAACTATTCAGATCAGTATTTGTAACCGCTCATGTCATTCTGTTATTGGTATAAAGGACTACAATCGATCTGCCTCCTTTGGCATATCAGATATGTCATCAGATATCGAATGCTATATGAATTGCTTCGACAGTGCCACATATTCACAAGTTTTGATTAAGTTGGATATTAGTAAGCAGTTGAACCAAAAATGCGCGTTTCATTCTGTTTGACTCTCTAGCTGGATGTACCTGGATTTCAAATCCATTACCTTCGGTTTCAAAGGCTCAGTGCGTTATCTATTATCCCGACTAAGACGAAGCACGCCTCATAGATTCCATTGTTAACTACTACCTAACTTTACTATTCAGATCTGAATTACTTGTAATACTAGTCACGTTCACCTCACTTTCCTCAATCATTTCATAACACAGAAAATATGAGACAAATTGGTGAAAAACATTCGTATTTGCAGCAAGAACTACATTTTAGTTAAACACCTACCTGTAGCCAAAACTTCGTTGACTTTTACGATTAGGCAATTCCGGTACATAATCTGGCGGTATATCATCATCGTTGACGCCATTCTCATTATCACGATGTGGTTTTAATTTACTCATTGATTCATGTAGTTTAGCATCGGAAGCAAACAATTTATCGAATTTTTCACATTCATTATGTCGATTCACTGTAATGCAACTTCCAGTATGACCAACATTGATAGTGTTGTTTGCATTATTCAATGGTTGAATATTGTGTTTAATAATATCAGTACTATCTGATTTAAATATAGGTTTTGATTGAATTTGTTCATTATCTTCTCTATCCGATGATGGTTCACTCATTGTAACAATAACATTGGTGAATTGATGACGACCATGACCACGAAATAACTCTGATGTGAATATTTTTTTCACAAGAAAGACAAACAAAAAAGAAATAGAAGTAATCAGGTACTAAGAAAATCGAAAAATTATAGTGTATTATTGGGAAGAAAACATGGTTAGTTAAAAATTACAACATTGATGAGTTTACAGATCAAACAATCGGTGCAAAGTAATCTCTCTACATTACAATGTGATGAAATCGACAAGTAAGAATATTGGTGAATGAACAACAGCAACAGCAAAAACAATGCAAACATATAATAAGTTAGCAAAGACCCTATTCTACACAACATATTCATACATGGTATATGGGACTAGACTACTACTAGACAAACTACACATGAACACATTAATTTTTTTTTCTTAAAAATGCTCACTATGATGATCAAGTGTATTACTATGATGCATTATATGTATACCCCTAATAATAAAAGGTGAATTAATATAAGGTATAGTTTGAGGTGAAGATGAATCTGCCACAACAGTTTGATGTTGTAATAATAGATCATTAGAATTGTGATCAATATTATCCTCAAGATGATCATTGATGATATGATTTCCCATTGTATTTGTTGAATTCTGAAAAGGTGGTTTTTTTAAATTTTTTAATAATTTTGATGATACACTATTATATAGATCATTGAATTGTTGATTAGAATAATCAAGTTTTGTTTTGAATAAAATTAATTTATTCGAAACATTAGTTAATTCAAATGTATTTTCTAACAAATGTAATGATTTCGATAATTGACTATTGGTTAAATCAGTAGTATTAGTAGTAGTAGTAGTAGCGGTAGTGGTATTACTGATGTCAGATGATTGTGAATGATTAAAAGATGACAGTTTCTGATGTCTTTGATGTTGATCTTTTCTAAATGATGTTATGCAGTACGATGGTTGTAATACAGATGAATCTATAGAATATCCATAAGAAGGTACTGAATTAGAATTAGAAACTGTAATCCAATATAAATGGAAGAAACAATGTAATAAATTAACATCAATAAACAATGGAAAAATGAAAGTTGAAGAGAAAAAATGGTTCACAGGAAAAAATACGAATCGGTTGTTTCGATTTAGCTTGGAACACAGATATATTTATTTATTTTAACACATAGATATTGGTACAAGGAGGCACCGAATACATATGCGCCACACAAATCTCTTTTGATATGTGTGAGGGCTGTGATACTGCCCGGGTGCCCAAACCGAAGCATGTAGTTTCCTTAGGGGTCACACCCCGAGCCTTCGACCTAAAGGTCTAACCCACAAGGCAGTGGAGCATCGTGAGGAGAGGCAGTCCCATGGTAGCGGTGACCACCGATTGGTTCCCACGCCATATGTTCCTTTAAGATACTGAGCCCATGTGCACCATTGATTTGGAATCAGGGTTTTCCAACTCCCCTAGGTGGACTCTCCATGTCCACTAACCCGGTTAAAGCGCCGGACATTCGCTTTTCGTCCTCTCAATTTCGTGAACAACAACCCCGCCACGGGAATGCAGTGAGTAGGACTTCCTTGTTGGTGGTTGTATAGGCCTGGTCATGTGAAATCAATTCGACAGGGAGAGCGGACTCTCCCTACTCTTGGCCGTACCGGGGCATTTGGGGAATATATATAAATATATATATATATATCCTCAAACTGTGTATATCCATGGATCAAATGGAACACACTATATCCTTTTCGATTATATTCTTAAATTATGAAAGTAGTAACATGATAAAAAGTTATTTTATTATAGACTGAGTTCCTTGCATTTCGGTAATATCGATAAGAAAATGACTACCAACTGATTGCCCGATCGAAGCTGCTACCTTGACGCGGTGATCGGGCTTGCCTATCGTGATGACCCAACCGAGCTATATTGGCTGGAACATATGTTCCTGCAGGTTCTACCATGCCAGGCAGGTCGATTGGCGAACGGTAAGACTAAAAGCAGCAACTCAAGGTCTGAGGGCGAAGTCGTACTGCTGACTGTAGAGAGGTGTGACAGCAGTAAGGTGTTTCCCTCGGACAACCAGCATGACAGCGATGCTGCCTTCCCACAAGGAGGGGTGGGGTTAGAAAAGGTCGACCCTAAAAATGCACACCTCACCTTACCTCACGGATTTCCGTCTCCGGCGGTAAGGCCCTTTGAAGAACGGAGCTAACACGTCAAAAACCTTCCACAAAAAGGCCGTGCGCGACCGGCCTCAAGCAGTTGTCCCTTGGGCTCTGCGGTCACGCTCCCAGGTCGTCAAGACCAACACTAATCCAATTTCCTTTTCAGGTTCCTCAAGAAATACCCTTCCACGGTGTGGGCAGCCGGGAAGTGACATCAGCCCTCATACCCGTAACAGCACAAGAGACCAAGGTGGTCACATTCAAATCCTTCCTACACCTCCTAATACCTCTCTTATCTCCTGACTAACCCTCCTCACGTCTCTTTATCACCTCGCACCGCTAGGGCAAACGATCGAGTACGTGGAACGCCATTCCTGGTCTCCTGAAACCACGCTCTAAACTACACGTAGGAGCTTTTAACGTACGAACACTTTGCCAAATAGGACAGCAGGCTTCCTTAGCTAAAACTTTAGAATCTCGCGCCATCGATGTGTGCTGCGTCTCCGAAACGCGCATACAGGATCCAAGTAGCGTCATTCATTTGACCTCACCATGCCAAAATAAAGAACCGACTCGATTTACGCTTCGTGTATCTGGAAGCCCTGATTCTGCTTCCCGTGGCCTCGCCGGCGTAGGTATAGCATTGAGTCCTAGGGCAGAACTAGCTCTCTTAGAGTGGATCCCAGTAGACAGTCGTTTGTGCGCTGTCCGACTGAACGGAACAGTAAGAATCCGGAAAGATAGGGACACTCGTCGTTGCCTCTTCGTCGTCTCTGCCTATTCTCCCACTGACTGCAGCTCAGATGATGTAAAAGATGAGTTTTACAGAAAGCTTTCGGACCTTCTCCGAAAAGCTAGGCGCTCGGATGTAGTAATAGTGGCCGGTGACTTTAATGCTCAAGTAGGTAAACTAAGCGATAAGGAAAGACACCTAGGTGGATCTTATGGTGTCGTGGCTCAAAGAACAGATAATGGCGACCGTCTGTTGCAGCTATGCTCAGATAACCGCCTGTTCCTTGCAAATACTAACTTTAAGCATAAGGAAAAACATCTTTTAACATGGCGACCCCCTAATTCGTCCCAACGTTGGACCCAAATAGATCACATCGCTATCAGCCACCGATGGAGGGGCTCGATAGAAGACTGTCGCTCATTCTGGAGCACATGCCTAGATTCAGATCATGCTCTAGTGCGAGCGCGTATTTGCTTGCGTCTTACTGGACGTAGGAAAGACGCTGCAAGGAAACCTCTTAGGGCCCTACTTAATGATAGTCAAGCTAAGAGTATATTTCAGGAACAACTAGGAAAACAGTTAGGCAGCCATGTATGTGATGCCCACCCCGATGCAGCATGGAATGATATCCGAAAAGCTGTGGAAACAGCAGTGATATCTGCTAGTAAGGTAAACCAGAAGGTTAGGGAGCAACACTGGATCTCAGCAGCATCTATCTCACTGATAGATGCTCGGAAACACATTCCACCTGGCTCTGAACATAATGAAGAGCGGAGTCAGCTTAAGCGCAAGCTGACAAGAAGTCTACGCAATGATCGCGAACAGTGGTGGGTAGCGAAAGCAAGAGAGATGGAAAAGGCAGCGGCAATAGGTAATAGCAGACAATTGTTCAGACTCGTTAAGGAAACCGGAATTAGGAACCCGACCGTTAGCGAAACAATCTCAGAGAAAGATGGACATATTATTCATTCTCAATCCAGGAGATTGGATCGATGGGCAGAACACTTTAGGGATCAGTTCAACTGGCCTTCAGCCACACTTCGGTTTCCCACGATCTCCAGTCAACCTGAATGGCAAGTTAATGTAGGTCCTCCGTCCCTTTACGAAGTTGAAAAAGCCATAGGAAATCTGAAACGAGGGAGAGCAGCAGGCCCTGACAGGTTTACTCCTGAGATTTTTAAGGATGGTGGTCCAGTATTAGCAATGAGATTAACTGAGGTCTTAGGTAGAATTTGGGAACTGGACGTAATCCCATCTGACTGGTCTCAATCACTGATTGTGCCAGTCTTTAAGAAAGGACAAAAGTCCTCTTGTGACAATCACAGAGGAATCAGTTTGACTAATATAGTGTCTAAAATATTAGCTTCAATAATACTTCGACGCCTAACTAAAGCTCGTGAAGAGCAGACTAGAGAAAACCAGGCTGGTTTTCGACCTGGACGTGGTTGTATAGATCAGATATTCACACTACGTCAGGTTCTAGAACACAGACACACATTCAGACGCCCCACAATGGTAGTATTTCTCGACCTTAAGGCGGCATTCGACTCGATTGATCGTGAGGTTCTATGGCAGTGTTTGTCACTGAAAGGAGTACCAAAGAAGTACATTAACCTTATAAAGGCTCTCTACTCGAACACAACTGGTCGAGTGAGAGCTTATGGCGAACTGTCATCAGAATTGATTACCTCAAGTGGTGTTCGTCAGGGCTGTCCACTCTCCCCATTCTTGTTCAACTTTGTGGTCGACGTACTTTTAGAGATAACACTCTCCTCATCTAAATTTACAGGGGTTGAACTTCTACCAGGAGGTTCACTTGTTGACTTAGAATATGCTGATGACATCGTTTTATTTGGTGAAGACACTGACAAAATGCAGAGTCTTCTGGCCACTCTAAGCAACAATGCAAGCATGTTCGGGATGCGATTCTCTCCCTCGAAATGCAAAATGTTGCTTCAGGATTGGGTTACATCGACACCCGAACTAGTGATAGGGAGTGAAGTAGTTGAGTGTGTCGACCGCTTCACTTATCTTGGAAGTCTCATCAGCCCTTGTGGTTTAGTGTGTGACGAAATCTCAGCACGGATACAGAAGGCTCGACTAGCTTTTGCCAACTTGCGTCATTTATGGCGTAGGCGAGATATCCGTCTATCAACCAAAGGACGTGTT